GTAATATTAGAATTTTCTGAGACAATGAATTTTGGTTTTTCGTTTTGTTTTTTTGTTTTTTCCCAGTAAGAGGTTTTTATTTAATAGAAATTTTGGACCAAAAAAATCTCAATATATCGCCTTGTTTACAGTATTGAAATATATCGGGATATATCGTATCGTGACCTCTCTGTCATGATATGTATCTTATCGCCAAATTCTTGCCAATTCACAGCCCTAGTTTCTTCAAGCGCTGCTTCCAATCATCCAGATTATCTGTAAAGTCTGGAGTCGGGATGCAAACAACTGATTTATGATTAATTAAAGAATAATGTTCATCAGACATTAGCTCAGTGTTAGTTTGTTTTGAGTATTCGCTGCCTCAGTTTAGATTAAAGTTTAGTTTCAAACAAAGACACAGGTCAGTGTTTTCATCTCGTCTTTGTTTTAAACTCAACTTTAAACTGAGGCAGCAGCAGCACAGTAGATCTGCACACGGATCCTGCTCCTCCCTGTCTGTGGACCAATAAGAGAGGAGCTGACCCAAGAAGCCACGCCCACCTTATTTACATAATGAAGCAGGAATGCATAAGGTAAAGTAAAAACAGGAGGCAGAGAAACCTAACAGCAACACATGGAAATAAAAAGACGTGAGAAAAATTATAAAGAATGATTCAGACAGAATCATGTACAAGTAAAAGGAAAAAAATTATATATAAAAATTATGTGCTAAAAGTATAATTTACTGGAACTAAGCTGGAAAACAAATACGAAGTTCAATGAAATGATAAAACATGAGGTAAAGTTCTCCTTTTTTAATCTAATTGGTGCTTTTTAAGTGTATTTCTTTATTATTGATCATTTATATATTTCTGCTTTTATTTCTAATTATGTAATTATTATTTTGTCTAATAATGTTGTCAGTTTCGGTGCTCCATACATCTCTGTTCATGGGGGATTAAATGTTTTACAGAAGTTTTTCTTGTTTTGTTATATTTTATAAAAGTAAAAATAATAATAATAATTAATAAATAAATAAAACTGGGATAACYAGCAGTCCAAAAAATACCATGTTTTTAATCAAGGCAGGAAACAGGACGTGTTTCGGCTACATGCTGTCGTCAACTTGTTCAAATTGACACAATAAAGTGTTAAAAGACGAGGATTTGCTTCATTTTTAAATTTTTTTTTGCTTAAACAAAAAAATAGCTTTCCATGTTACAGAAAAAAACCTCTTAATCCAAGAGAAAACTCCAAACGTCTGCTTACAGATTAACACATGACTCGATTGTTTCCTGGTCTTTAGTTTTTCACACTCTGACTCATCTTTCAGGTCTAAAATCAGGTCTTTATTTAACCTTGTTTACTGTTTCTTAAATAATTATATTTAGATTTACAGTTTTTTTTGTTCTTCATGTTTCAGCTGACAGCTCATCTTTATGAATTTAAAAGTCATTTTACCGTCAAACTGTCTGATCGTTGGTATTTTTCACAGATTCAACACAAAACAAATTGTTGAGCATATAGAGATGAATTGTGTCTTTTGCAGATTATTCTTTCTCTCACTTTACAATAAAATGACCCGAAAATAATCCAAGAGAAATTAAAAACAAAATAAGAACAGCAAGACAACAAGAAATCTTCAAAAACCACTTCAAAAAATAAAGATCAGTCGCTCGCGTCCTTTCAGGACTGAGTTTGAACTAAAACACCTGAAAAAAAACTGAAATTACATTTGAAGCTGTTGCTAAACTCTGCAGATTATGCAACTGTTTGTTCTCTGTAATCTGGAATTATAACTGCTTTATAGTGTGTCGTCAGTGGAGGACAGACGTGTCAATCAACAGGAGACATTTTGACACAGCGGTGTTTAAATCTGAAACAGATTACAGCTCAGTATCTGTCAATCTGACCACAGTGGACTAAAATAATCTGAATGAGATTATTTACCTCTCAGCCAGACTCTGCTGCTGGTTGATGCCGATGTTGAACAGAACTGGCTGGACTCGGATCAGAGCGCCGTCTCTCAGCTCCTGCGGCAGCGAGCTGAAGGAGTCTGGAGGCACCGGCACCTCCACAACAAAACCACTCCTGGATGGAGGAGGAGGAGTTCAGAGCTGCAGGTGTGTGTGTGTGTGTGTGTGTGTGTGTGTGTGTGTGTGTGTGTGTGTGTGTGTG